CACACACACACACACACACACACACACACACACACACACACACACACACTCCATTCAAAACAAATGACTTACAAGTGGTGTATCCTTTCCTCCTACAATACTGAGTCCCAGACCTGATCGTCCTTTGGATATTTCAATAGTCATTTCTTGGCCAGGAACGATTGGGCACATTGCTGGGTCGACTGGAGGAGGTGGAAAGTTATCTACACCAAAAATAAACAGTATTAGTCCATACAGTTGTAAGTGTTAAGTAAACACATTGCAGAGGAATATGAGATGTCATAATGGATCTGATCAAAGAAACGTGGCTCTTGGAAAAATTCAGATTTGTTTATGGATAATAGAAAGGAATGGAAAGGAAGGGAAAGAAAAGAAAAGCAGTTGAATTACAACAGGGACAATTTATATATATAATATTGCGTTGAAATGGTTATTGCTAAAAATAGAATCCATTGAAATGAAGGAAAATAATTTCAACTGAGCAAAGATGGCTCCCTTGCAATACATTTTATTGGTTTATCTTCAGTCTAGACAGACAATAAGTTCTGCCATTACTATACCGCTAAATGCAGAATAAGAATTTGTTATTTAAAACCCAGTTGGAATTTTATGTTTTGTTGCTAACAGGGATTTTTCTCCCCTCTCCATATTAATTTCTTTACATAAGTCATAAATGAAGAACTGCTTTTTAAAATTCTTAATGCTCTTGTGTATGTTTATATGTAGTATAAGTTTAATGCTTTTAGATAGAATCCAAAAGCATTAAAACACACACACCCTATGTCAAGGTGACAAATATTTTAATTAAATGCCCAGAAGAGCCAATGCAGAAAAAGATGACATTAAAGAAACTTCATTTAAAAAAACCTTTCATTTCTATGAAAATAAAAAGGATGTGTTAAATGAAACAAACAAATGTTTAAAAGTATGATATTTTTGTAGTTACTTACCAAGCACATCTAAATTATATTAAAGTAACCAAAATATCTTTATAATCCCCAAGGCACAACTGTTGAGCACCCTTAATGTTTGGAAATTAAAAGTTGAAAAATTTGACACGCCATAGTTACTGTTGCGGTAATTTAAGCGATACATTAAACAACTTAAGTGTCTTAAGACCAGTGGTGCTATTCAGCCAGTTTTATCTGGTTCAGGTGAACTGGTAATGGTGGCGATGGGAGGCTCTGCCCACCCATCTGGGTATCATCATGTTCTATTTTTGATGCTCTGCGCATGCACGGAGGTGAGTATGCTCACATTTGTGAACCGGTAGCGAAGGTAAGTTGATTTCACCCCTGATTAAGACATTTACCTTAGTTAGGTTTTTTTTTTAATTAAAAAGCAATATTACCACCCTAAATTCTGAGGATTAATGCAAAGTACTTCTTCAGATGGAAATAACAGGTTCTTACTTTGGTTGCTGAATTCTGTCTCTGGAGGATAAGATGATTCAGGGGCCAAAGAAATCTCATGTAAATTGATGGGGATGGGGTTCACTGTGGAAAACTTGGTTTGCGTTAACTGGTTTCGAAGCTGGGAGAGGCAAAAAGGAAAATAAAATAAGTATTTGAATTTTTAACTACATACAAAATTCTAAACAAAAAGTTTAAATCATTGGGCAGGTAATATTTACATGAATGAGAAATGGACTGTGAATATTTCTAGGAATAAATTATCTGTGTACTTTTGGAAGATTCATATATCTTTACATGAATGTATGAAGAAAATATGTAAAGATAAACTCCTAATGAAAAGCTGTAAGAAACATTCATGTTTTGGGCTATTTTATGGGTCTCCTTTAATTGTCAATAATTTAAATAAAATTGAAACAATGAGTAATAAGCAAAGCACTTTAAAAATAAAATAAAATAATAGGATTAAAATACCCACATTTTCTGGTGGCTGGTCTGCCTTAACTTGGTCTTCAATCACCTGTTTTTCAGCTTTGCTGCTGATATCCTAATCAATATGGATACATAAATGGTAAAATATTAGTTTGTGATACACTGTGTTCAATTAATTTTATGAACATCAGCAACTGCCATGCTGCTGCTTCTGTTGAGGCAACCAGCTGGTATTTGGTTTTCAGTCCAGAAGTAATCATTTATTGCCATTGTCCCGTGACTAAGAATGTATCAAACTTTACTATAACATTCTCTAAGATAAATATAAAATGTAAAATTTGATTAAACTATCACTTATTTGCCTTGAACTGAAGTGTGAATCTAACCATTTTACCTTGATTTGTTTGTTTGAATGTAACTTGTAGATTGAATATATATCAATCCATCATCAATCCATCCATCCATCCATCAATCAATCAATCATTTTCCTCTTTTGAAGTACCGAATATCACCACATGTACAATCTTAACAGGGGTATTAATGTGAACAAAGATATTTTACTTAAAGTTTCCAACCTTACAGGTTATAGTTCTCATTTAAAAATTTCACTTCCCACATCTGATGGCACTATATTTTTAAAAATCTAAGTGTAGTTGTTAATCACATTTTAAAAGCAGAGTCTGATATGACCCCTACAGACATACTTTGGAGATATAGACAAGCAGGCTGGCAGGCAATCAATCATTCTTTTGTCTTCAATTATTGAAACATTTCTTTTATAAGCAATATATACTTTGATAAATACAGTATAAAATAATTCCCTTCTCTGCAATCATGTTGATTGATAATCTTTTCTTTGTATGCATATGTCTCTGTTGTGTTATTCCCAGCATGTTTAGGTGCTACACAAATCCAGGAAGACATTCTGTTTTAATTAGTGCAAAGAGATTGTACATTCAAACATTAGGAAAAAGATTCAGTGATAAATTAAAAGAATTTTCAAATCATATCAGGCTCACTAATTATAATCTATTCCTGGCCATACTTGTAGAGACAAATAATAATGCAAAGAACAGCTTCAACCACTGATCACCAAGGATTATGGAAATCTTCAGAGAAAGTTGAAGATTCTAGAGATGTCAGTGGCAATTCTGTTCATTTTTCAAAGAAGGCTACTGACAGACTGTATGACTGTATGTTTGTGAGTGAGTGTGTGTGTGTGTGTGTATACAAACATATACATATATACATACTGTATATATATATATATATATATATATATATATATATATATATATATGTATATGTATATATATATGTATATGTATATGTATATATGCATACACGTATATAGTGTTGAGAGAGATTTAGTTTCCATCAGCCTCAAAGTTTAGTCCTGCTTTTTCACCCTGCTCTTTGTACTTTCCTTATTAGAGCATGTTTGTGTGTGCGCATTTGTGCATGTGTGCCTTCAAATCAGTGTTGACGTCTTCTTGGCAAGATTTCAGAATTACCAATTTTACCATTGCCTTTTCCCTAGACTGGAGAGATAAGTCCACTTATCTGGCTTTGTGAAGGAGAATTCAATTACCCAAATTAACTTTACATTTTCAGCACCTCTAGGGCTACTGAAGTACCTGGCAATCTGGCTGAACCTTACTTATTACCTTAGAGAAAGCCTAGTGAATTGGTGAAATGCTAGACAACTGGAAAAAGTTTTCCTTCTCTTCCCAAAGAGGAAAAAAGAGAATCCAAGAAATAGAAGTATAGCTTCTAAATTTTTAAAAAAGTCATTGTACTTTGAGTTGATAAGACCATTCTTATAGTACTTTGTCCAATTTTGGAGCCTATAAGGCATCCTTAAATATTTAGAGGACTAACCAGTTCAGAGAAGGGTAACACAAATTATTATCAAAATAGAAATTAAGTACTAAGAAGGTATGTTCTGATGACTGAACAGGAAAATTATAACATTTTTTCAAAATCTGCTTCCATCATTCTAGAGCATGAGATCCACAATAATGAATTAAAGTTACAGGAAGGCAGATTCTGATACAACATTACAACATTTCCTAACAGTAGACCAGTTAGATGGGACAGCCAATTGCTCTGAAAACTGACAAACTCAAATAGACTACCTGGAGTCCTTTAATTTACATCAGTGCACCAAGCAGCTTGGTTGAACTTGATGGACAAAATGACTTTTTCCTAAACAGGATTCTATGCATGTATTTATGGAGATTCGCAGTCATCTAGGTCATAATTATCCCAAATATGCTTTTTCAAAAGACAACTGGACTTCAGTCATCTGGTCATTAGCACTCATTCTAAGAGTCATTGAAGTCACTTAGATGTTTATCTGCTTTCTCTGTATGGTCTGAGTAGTAAACAGCAGATAGATGTTGTCGTATCACTCCCATTCTGCTCAGAGAGAGCTGTTCAATCTTAATGTAGATGACCTCTTTGATTGCTCTTTCAAACCAGTGGTCCTCCCTTGTCTAGAATGTGGACTTTGCTATCTTCCAAAGAGTAGTCTTTGTCTTTCAAATGCAGATGGACTGATGAATCTTGTCCTGATGGGCTTGTTCTCCTATGTTGTGTCATGAGTTTGTGAAGTGGCTGTTTCTCCAATGTACAGATCTGTACATGTTTCACTGCATTCTATTGCATATACCACAAGCTCAGTTTGTGTTTGGGTGTTTTATTCTTCTATGTATGATTCCAGGTATGAGGAAACCTTCGATAATGTGCTCAGAGGTAGTTCCAGGCAGATTCTGGAAAGTGCTGTTATCATTTTCAGCTGCTTTCATCCATTTTGCTGCCACTGCTCTGTCTTTTGTCATCTTCCTCCCACAACCACATTACACAGTTGCTTTTTTACTTGGTTCCTTCTTCTCTGTTCGCACTGCCGCTGTGCTTTTTTAATTTTTTTATCCTCTCTGCCTGCTGGCACTAAAGAATGCACTGTCAGAGCCAGCCAGTAGCTTTCTCCAGCTGCCAACAGAAAAGCTGCAGTTTTGTACATACTATATCTTTGCTTCTTCAAACTGTGATTTCTGGTTAAATAGGAAACGAACATCTGATCCAATAGAAAACTATAGCCTTCTGTAATGCATGTCAGAAAATTGTGCTTGGTGTAGAAACTGACTTTAAGAAGACCAATATTCAGTTCATTCTGGATAAGACAGCAGCAATTATTTGGAAATTTGTCTGAGTTTCATGCAGGTGGTCGTTGAGTTAAAAGGTAAAGGTTCCCCGCACACATATGTGCTAGTTGTTCCCAAATTTAGGGGGTGGTGCTCATCTCTGTTTCAAAGCCGAATGGCTAGCACTGTCCGAAGACGTCTCCATGGTCATGTGACCAGCATGACTAAATGACGATGGCACATGGAAGCTGTTATTTTCCCATCAAAGATGGTTCCTATTTTTCTACTTGCATTTTTACATGCTTTTGAATTTGCTAGGTTGGCAGAAGTTGGGACAAGTAACGGGAGCTCACTCAACTACGCGGGGCTAGGGATTCGAACCACTGAAGTGATGACCTTTCTGATCGACAAGCTCAGCATCTTAGCCACTGAGCTACCACATCCCTAGTCATTGATCTGCGACCGCTCAAAGTTTGATAATGCTAAACAAGCGGGATTTATGACGGGTCCTTGGAGTTATGGCGATTACAGAAACCCTGTAGTCATGGGATTACAATCTGGGTTCTTAGTGCCAAGCTCTTGATTACAAAATCACAACTAGCTGTTGTCACATGCTCATGATTTCTGATGTTTTCTGCTGGCTTCCCACAAGTCAAGTCAATGGGGAAGCAGGCAGGAGTCACAAGTTGCTTTGTCCTACTGCTCCTTTTTCATCTACCCTACTCTGTACTGCCTACCCAGAGCCCTCTCCTGTCATCCATGGCAACTATCTGTTCACAACTCTCAACTGCAAGTCTGCTTATCTAAGACTCCTGCTTCTTCCTGAATGACCTAAACAGTTCTGCAGCTACATTGCCAATTGGGACTGCCATCACTAAATGATATGATTACACGATTTCTGCTTTACAGTCATACCAGATTTTCTGGTTCCACTTGTCATAATCAAAAGACTACCTGAATTCAAACGATATCCAGTTCTTGCTAATTATACAATATGGAATAGTCATAAAAATCTACAGAAATTAAGCTGGACATATTTGACAATGAAATTATTTTTATGAATGTACATAACATAGTCATATCATGTTTGAAAACTTACATTGCATGCTATTATTATTTATCATTATTGACATTTATTATGGCTATCCACACCCGAAGACTCTGGGTAGCTTATTGACAGTTTGACTGCCTCCTTCCTAGGACTGAGGGAAAATACATTTTAACTCCAAAAGAAACTTTGCCTAAATCTAAGTTTTACAGTATTGCTACTATCAAATGAAATAATTTTGACTTACTTTTCTTAATCAATACAATATCACAAATGCATGTTTTTCGCCAATTCATCTCTGCCTTTAATGGCTCTTAACTTATATTAGGGAAATGTTTGTTCATTGATTACCTAGTAATCACCTAGTAACTGTTCTTCCTGTAGCCAAAGGATATTTCTAATGCTCACTGTTAGGGGAAGCGGAGGATTTAATTATATACATGTTTGGGATTATATAAAGCTAATTATGATTAATTGTTCTCATTAATAACACATTGGAAAGCATCTTACCTCATTGGAAGACTGAGTGCAAGAGGGTAATGGAAAAGGAGCTACAGCCATCTGGTTAAATGCATCCTCATTGCTAACAGTCAAGAGAAAAAATAATTGATTAGTCAAACTAAAAGGACAACTCACATTCAATCTCCCTCTCTGCCCTTTCTCTGGTGAATTATAGTTGTTTATCATATTTACAACTTCCTTTCCTCTGTGACTCACAAAAAGGTTTTAGGTCCTTCATTTCAAAATACTAATCAAATTGAGATTGCTATATCATCTGCGTTTAATACTTGCCTCCAAAACAACAACAACAAAAGCATTTAAAAAGCAAAATTAAGAATCTATTGCTGTCCCTCCATGCTGCTTTACAGCAAGGTAGATACCATTATTTTGGAGAAAAGTAACTCATTTCCATATGTTCAGTTGCAGACAATTAACACAAGACCCTTATGACAAAACAAGGAATATTTCCCAAAGGATGATGTGGATGTGCATTTCAAAAGGTCTTCCTCTATGGATTATTAGATAAGGAGTTGGAAAAAAGATTTTGAATTCTGCAATGAGAATTTTATATACCCAGAAATGGAAAGATATTCCAGTCCACACCACAGAAAAATGAATGGGAAAAATGATGGAGCCAGAAGAAATAGCAAAATTGACTGCTTTGATCAGAGAAAATAAGATATCCAGCTTTGTTTCTTCTTGGAAACTGCTTCTGGACATTGAGCTTGAGGTAGAAAAAAATGAACTCTTGATGTTGGATTGTGCTGATTTGTTATTATAGAAATGGCCAGTATTTGTTAACTTGGTAAAGTTAAAAAGTTGACTCTGAAATTTTACTCTGTAGCAATAGCAATAGCACTTAGACTTATATACCGCTTTACACTGCTTTGCAGCCCTCTCTAAGTAGTTTACTGAGTCAGCATCTTGCTCCAAACAATCTGGGTCCTCGTTTTACCAACCTGGTGGTTCAAAAAGCAAGCTCTCCTAGGCTATGACATATTTATATGAACTAGTGGGCCAGGTGGGTGGGGGGAATAGGCAAATGGGAGGAGCATCCTTCAAGTTATGGGTAGAGTGCCAAACATCTGAAATTACATGACCCCCAAAGGTATTGCATTGGCCATAATTTAGAGTAAAGATACCTTTTGTTCAGCATCACTGTAGTTTAGAACAGTTACTAAACAAACGGCCATGTCAAATACTACTTTTTTCTCAAAATGGTTATATTCCTTTTTTATTCTCAGATGGATGGAAGGCTGAGTCAACCTCAGATGGATGGAAGGCTGAGTCAAATCCCTGGGGGGATTTGAGCTGCAAAATTGCAGGCAGCCGACAGCAGAAGTAACCTTCAGCACTGCACTCTAACCACTGAGCCACCAAGGGTCTTAGAGAAAGGAAGGAAAAGAAGACGATGGTATTTAAAAAAGAATTTAAAAACACTGGGGCACTCAAGAATAATAATGGAAGAGATTTAATACAAGAAATTAAGTTAAGTTAAGGAAAGATTTTTAGAAATGGGAGATGAAACCTTTTGCAAATTGAACAGGCAAAAGCATTCTTACAGAACGGTTTTTTAGAACTTTTTTAAAAAAAGAGAATATGGTATTCAGTATTCAGGAACTTGTTTCTGCCAGAAAACACAATGGCACAATGGGCAACAGAATAGCTATCACAAAGAAAAGAAGCAGGTTGAGATGAAATTTTGCTATGTTTAAATTTAATAGATTTAAACATATTAAATGTATTTAATACATTTATATGGTCACCCATTTTATTTGCACGAGTCTTGGTGGCTCAGGAAAACAGAAGGGAATTATTGTATAAATAAAGAACCAAAACTGAAAAACAGCAGAAACAACATAAAATAGCCCAGCAGCCAAAAACTAAAAAATACTGAGCTACTTAAAGCTGCAGAGGTATTAGCTAAAGTGTCAACAGCTCTAAATTGATAAATGTGGACAGAACTACCACACGGGCTAGAGACTGGAGAAGATCATTGTATATAGCTATGCTAAAGAAGGGAGTTGCATGGAAAGAAAGAATCTAACTGAACCATTGCAATACTTCTCATGCATACAATGTTTTGAATAAGATCTTGCACAGAAGAAAACATCCATGGTTGATGAGAGATAAGATAAATGAGTGGACAGAAGGCCATGAGATCAGATGGCTAGCTTTAGTTGGATAAAGGAGAGAGCAAGAGTGTTTAAGGAGGAAATTAACCTTTGCTTTATTGATGCAGCAAGGCCTTTGATCACATAGATCATGTCAGAAACTGGAATATATTAAGATTATGGATGTGCATTCAAGATTTCATTCAGAAATATCTTGAATGAGATTATTGTAAGAGCTGAATTTGGAAAAATGTTGTAGAATGAGTCAGAATAATAATAAAAAAAGGAAATAAGAGAAATCAAACAGGAAACCATTAATCTCCAAATCTTTTTATAATACAGCCAAGGTAAACATGGCAGAATTGGAAGAAATTGAATCAAATGGGAGATTTTTAGCCAGATTTAGAGGATATAGATTTATCCTAGACCTTAAGAAGAACTAATAGATTGATTCTGGACAAAAACAAAGTGGGCGGGCTACAGAGGTGGGTTCCTACCAGTTCGCACCTATTCGGTAGAACCGGTTCGTCAAATCTACCGAACCAGTTAGAAGAGGTTCCACCAGTGGACCCGGAAAGCAGGCCACACCTACAAAAGAGGTTCCACAAATTTTTGAAACCCACCACTGGCGGGCTAACTGTTCCTTTGAGAAAATGATCAGTTCAGTTCAGTTCAGTTTATTGTATTTGTATATTTCGAGCATCTGATGCAACTGGAAGATGAAAAGTGGAAAATGGAATAGAAAAAACAAGACTGAGAGAAGTTAAAAAAATATAATGAATAAAACAAATGAATGGAATCAAGGAATGTCATTAGAAAAACTATGCATATTCACTAAAGACATATGACTTTATCCAATGGCTATAAACTAAATTTGGACATGAGGTTCTAAGAAGGAAATTAAGGAAATATTAGACAGACCCAGGATGCAACCCAGTCGTTCACTTTGATTCATGACTCCTACTTAATGAGCAGCTGGCAATAATGACAAGAAGGGAATTTGCACTGTTTTGCCTTGTGTATCAGTCAGCCTGTTGCCCTGCTAAGAAGCACTCATGCTGGATTGGAGTACTACAATTGCACTTTACATAGAGATGCCCTTGAAAAATATCTGGAAGCTTCAACTGACACAGAATGGAGTGATGTGGACTGTTATGTGCAGTCCTTAGAATACTAAGACCATTCGTTGCTGATTCAAAGAGTGGAAGGAAGGAAGGAAGGAATATAGCTTTCATATATGCAGAAAAGTTTTATCTACTGGAAAAATCAGACAAAAATACGTTTCACTTGAAAGTCAGTGATATGCATTGAGAACAAAAAGCACAACATTTATCCATGGCAAGATGAAGAACTCTCTATTGGGTTGCCATTTTGAGCAGCAGCTGCATGTCTGGGGTGACTAATGTTTAATGTATTCTTGGCATCTGCCATTTCCCATCATTTCCACTATCTCCTTCCAATTCCTAAATTTGCCAAACAACAATGTTAGTGATAAGATGGAATTCTCATGAATAGAGTGATAGTAATTAGGTTTCCATCTTGACATCCTACATGGGACTCCTTTTGGCCTGTGAACTTTTCTCCTTTGAGGAAATGGACAGAATGCAGCCTAGATTGTCCTCTGCATTTCTTCAAGGCAGATATAGTAAAATCCCTGTGGCTGAGTATATTTGCCCAGGTGGTGACAGGGAAATTGAAAACGTCTCACATATTGTAAATTTTACAGACATTAGAATGATTAGATAAATCTACACTGTACCTCTAAAAAATAAATTCTTCTTTTGCAGTTATATTCTAATTTAAATACATAAGAAAAGCAAACATATTTAGAATTATAACAGGACAAAATTTCTTTTGGTCATTTAATTTCTTGCATCATAATCAGTCGCAACGAACACATCCAATTCTGTATATCTTTTTTGCCATGCTTTGTCCCAACCTATTTCCCAATTAAGCAGCAGGGAGTAAACTTTTGTACATGACATTTAATTTTCAATAACTGTGTACAAGAAAAAGGAGGCTGGAAGCAAGATCATTAATCACCCAGTCCGGAAAAGTCTTGAAATAAAAAGCAGAGAGGGTTTATTTTAATAGTACTGTTTTTCCTTTGAAGTCATGACCTGTCCATAGTAGAGTTTAAGACAGGGGTGAAGTGCTAACGTCTGCTACTGGTTTGCTTTGCATGCACATACGCTCCATTTGCCTGAACCGGTAGTAAAAAAATGCTACCAGTTCTGGCAAACTGGTGGTTCTGACAATCAGCTGTGCGAAAATCAGCTGTGCGGTACAATTTCACATGACACAGCTGATTGTCAGAGCTACCAGTTTTCTCAAACGGTAGCATTATTTTACTACCGATTCGGGTGAACCGGTAGCATTTTTTACTACCAGTTTGGGCGAACCAGTCTGAATCGGTAGCATTTCACTCCTGGTTTAAGATTTAACTATATATTAAGATATATTTCAAAACAAACATATGCAAAGATTAACTCAGCAACAGTATTTACTTGGTATTATTCTTTGTTCAGTATTAAAATCTGAGAACTGGAAAGAGACTCAGACACAGCTATTCTTCCATTATTATTTTTTCCATTATTATTATTTTATTTATTTTATTTATTTTATTTTTTGTCTGCAAGAAAACAAATAAGCTCAGAGAGTACCAGGGACCCCTTATTTCAGTCCTGAGCTACCAATATTCTCCTTTATAACATGTGTAGACTAGCCTTCAACAACTGGTTGGTAGGTCCAACAAATCTGAAAGTATCAGGTGAGAGAAGAATGGCTGTTTTGACCTTTACCTAAAAAAGATTGTTTTTTCTGGCTAAAAGCAACATACACAATACAAAACAAACAAACAAACAAACAAACAAACAAACAAACTTTTCCTCAGGTTTTTTTTTGTGTTTTTCTTCAACTGCAAGCCATTCAGAGTTGTTACAATATGTAACAGGTAAAACACATGATAGAATAATGTAAATGACAATAAAAATAGAAGGTTATTGTTTACCTAAATAAGTAAATAAAATTATAAAATGACACAATCTATTAAGTCAAGAAAATCCTCTCAAAATAAATTGGGTTTGAATACCAATCCACCAGACACGTTGCTAGTCTGATCTCCAAGAGGAGGTTATTCCAGAACGTGCTTCCACCATTCCTCCCACACTGGAGGTTTTTAAGAAGGGACTGGACAACCATTTTCGAAAATGATACAGAGTCTCCTGCTTGACCAGGGGTTGAACTACTCCAAGGTCCCTTCCAACTCTGTTATTCTGTTATTCTCACCACCATCCTTCACTTCAAAGAAGTATGGGACCACCAGCACCTGCTGCCTATAAGATCTAATGGGCCAATACAATCCTGGCTCTTCTGCAGATACACAACTAAGCCTTGAATGGCTCGAATGCGCACGCCCACGAACAACTTAACACTTTCTAGTTTCAAAAATACGGAAGGTAAATCCAGCTGTTTACTTATTTCTCCATCCCAGAAGCTTTTTTTGAGAATCCTATTTTGAAGACAGCAAAGTCCACATTTTGGACAGAGAAGACCCCTTGTTTGAAAGAGGGGTCAAACAGGCCATCTATGTCAAAATTAAACGGTCGCCTCTCAACAGAAGGGGAGAGAGACAACATCGTCTATTTCCAGTCCAGAACACAGCCCTTTCAACAGTTCCAAGACGTCTCCACACCCATTTGCAATACTCAGGTGACCCTGACGACATAGATAAACCTCCAGGTGGCCTTAATGGCTTGCTAAAACATGGGTGTCAAACTCGCGGCATCATATTGCTGCCACATGACATTTCACAACTTTTTCCCCTTCACGGACCTGTACGTGATGCATTTGGCCCATGGGCCACCAGTTTGACACCCCTGCGCTAAAAGAATGCAATTGACCAGCTGTCTGCAATAAATCCTTCCATTCCCTATTCAATCCCAGAGCAGAAGAAGTTTCTTAGATGAGAACAAAATGTCTTCAAAGAAAAACCCGAAAGTTCAGTTGCCTCCTGAAAAAGCACCTTTGGGATGTATTGACATGTTTATATTGCTTTACTAAATTGGCCTATTAACCACAGTTATTCTTCCTCCACTTTTCCTTCTTTTCTAAAGTACAGCTGCATGATGAAGAGTTCTTCAAATTCAAAAGCTTGACTATGCAATACTCAATTAGCCTAATGAAGTTACTGCGTCAAATGAATTTCTGACTTTTTTCTCAGCAGAGCTAAAATGACAGCCTTCACTTTTGGTACAAAAGAGTTAATAAACATTTAAATATTTTGCCCTTGACTAAACATGTTAGCAGCTTTCAGCTTTATGGCAATACTGAATCTTTTATTTTTCACTTCCCAGTTCAGGCCATTAATTCTTGACCTCATCAGCCCAACTGTTAATGATTATCATTCTTACCGTATAAATACCAGTTTGACCTTTGATGGTGCCGTCTTAATTATTGCAGAAGCATTCTGGTGACTTCTCCCATATAATATCTGGTTATTTATCTGTGTTGTAAAGAACATTTAGAGCAGTTACCAATTAAAAAGAAACAAAAGGTCCTCTATTACTTTGTAATTTTATTACATTGTATAAGCTCTCCCTCCCTTTCTCTAAATCTTATTTTGAGTTACAGCCAAAAATAAAGAGAAGCAAAAGGGCAAGGTGGATGAAGAGACTGTAATTTCTTCCTTGAAAAACAGGATGTTTCTGGGTTTTTTGTTTTTTAAAGCATTGCATTAGCCAATCACGTGAATAATGCTGATAATCAACAGGAAATAATTATGTCATTGATAGCAATTTGGGGAGTAAGATTGATTGCATCAACATAATTTGGGGCACATGCCGCTTCAAACAATATCACTGAATGTATTAGAAATGCTGCAGAGTAAAGAAGATTTAAATCTCCAATCCAGGAACCTATTATATTAAGTCGTGCCATATTGGAGCTTTACCTTAGTTTACCATTTCTAAAGTCACAGATCAGCATTACAAAAGAGATGTACTACACCAGCAGCTTTAGTAAGACAATGCGTACAAATACACAAAAGATAAAAAACAGTTAAGACGAATCTTTTTCAAGGCATTTGCTTAGAAATTTGAAATCACGGCAAAATTATAAGCAAAGCAAGCTTTAACTTTTAGGTATGTCTTTACAAACACTCACAGGTATGCCAGCAGCTTTAAAAAAATCTATTTTTTGTACAATTACATTTCTGAGAGAGAGAGAAAGCACGCACAAAATGATTGATTTAATGGACCTATTCGCATGCAAGATGTGTATTTGTATGTGCATATTATGCATCTTATGACACTGTCAATTAACAAATCTAGGAATAGAACTTTAAAGAAATGAAGGTTTTTTTGTTATAGCAAAATTTAAAAAATACTCTATGTTGGAAAGTATTATTTTCTAAACACCAAAGTCAGAAAGAGCTTGAAAATCAAATAGTACTCCTATCCTTCGATTTTCAAGGATAGGAGAGAGGGTAAGGGGGGAAGATGAGAAGGATAAGGAGGAGTGGATTGTAGAAAGAGGAGCAGTAGAAAGGGAGGGGAAGTAGAGTAGAAAAGGATGATGGAGGGAAGATAGAAAGTTGGAGGGTGGTAGAAGAAAGAGGTGTATGGAGAGCAGAAGATAGTTTTCTATTTTGGGGGGGGGCATTGTTGACAAGAGGAACTGATGTAATTATTATTTAATACTATATGATATGGGCGAGGTGGCGCGGTGGTTAAATGCAGCACTGCAGGCTACTTCAGCTGACTGCTAGATCAGCAGTTCAGCGGTTCAAATCTCACCGGCTCAGGGTTGACTCAGCCTTCCATCCTTCCGAGGTGGGTAAAATGAGGACCTGGATTGTTGTTGGGGGCAATATGCTGACTCTGTAAACCGCTTAGAGAGGGCTGAAAGCCCTATGAAGCGGTATATAAGTCTACTGCTATTGCTATGTGAGTGTGTGTTATGAAAAAATGAAAATGGAAATAAAAAATTTAAACACTAGAAAATCAAATAGTACTGTTATTTTCTATAGCTAGAAGCCAAAGGTGGTATTCTGCCAGTTCGCCCAGGTTCAGGCAAACCAGTAGCAGCAGCAGCAGCAGGAGGCTCCGCCCATCCACACAGATGTCATCATGAATGCTCTGCGCATGTGCAAAAGGTTCTGCGCACACGAGCGCTCCCGGTTCCGAACCGGTAGAGAAAGTAAGAGAAGATCATTACTGCTAGAAGTGCTATTGATGAAAGTGGGGAATTATGTAAAATTAATTGCTGGATAGTTTGCAACGATTTTGGTAAAAGTGATTCTTTTCAAGACTTCTTTCTAAGCTCGAAGTTGTACCTTTTTACATGTAAGCAAAAATCCTTTCACTGAAATTCTCCCATGTACCTGTGCCAAGGGTATAAGGCAGGGTTGTCAAACCCGCGGCTTCATATTGTTGTCACATGACGTATCGTGACTTTCCGCCCTTTGCTAAACTGGGGTGGGCCTGGTCAGTGTATGATGCATCCATCCCATGGGCCGCGAATTTGACACCCCTGGTATAAGCCAAACACACTGTTCATTTTCAACAGCCAAACCTTATGTCAGAGATTGGCACATTAAGCAGCTGCAAACTCTCAGGTATAGATTTAATCAAATACAGGTAGTCCTCAATTTATGACCAGAGTTGAGCCCAAAATGTATGTTGCTAAGTGAGTTTTGCTCCATTTTATTACTTTTCTTGCAAACTTTATTAAGTGAATCACTGCATTTGTTAAGTTAGTAACATAGTTGTTAATTGAATCTGGATTCCCTATTGACTTTGCTTGTCAGAAGATCACATGATTCCCAGAAGACTGCCACCATCTTAAATAGATGCCAGTTGCCAAGTGTCTGAATTTTAATCACATGACCATGGGGATGCTGCAATGGTCGTAAGTGTAAAAAATGGTCATAAGCCCCTTTTCTCAGTGCCATTATAATGTTGAACGGTCACTAAATGAACTGTTGCTTGTTGAAGACTACCTGTAATGCTTCCAATGAAAAGTCAGAAAGTTTGATCATTATTGACAGGATGCAAAGCTACTTTATTACTAATTTTATAAATTGTGAATATGAGTTCCTAAAACATAAACACACACACACACACACACACACACACACACACAGACAGCATGTTGTAGTTTCTTCTGAAAAAATAAACGCTCAAGTACTTTGACATTTCTTGCAGGCTTCATGGAAGAATGAACTATTGTTTACTCTAACACTAAATCTACTGATTTAGAGGCAAGTGAAACGCAGGTAAATAGGAAAAAGAAATAGCAATGTTCAACAGGAAATAAGATAAATGAATGAAACAGAGTGGCTAAATTATGAACAAAAATTAAAAACATTATTTAACCTAGACAGTTCCAATTGTAAGCAACAATTGTAGAGCAGATGGCATCATAAATATTTCCCTGAAGGGGGATGTGGCATGTAAGATAATGAAAACTAATAGGTGAAATTTAAAGAAGAGGATGTTATGGCTGTTTCCTGAAGGGTGCTTTATTAGTCTGAGAAATTATTTCCTACTAAACAGTTTGCTTTCCTGTTCTAAAACTACTTAGTTTAAACAGGGTACTCAAGGTTAACTCTTGATTTCTGATTATTTTTGGTCTTATGTTTTTCAATAATGTTTACATTTCATTAATATTACTTTCATCCCCTGGAGAAAATTTAAGCAAGAATTAATATTCTGCCCTCTGAAATGAATCTTTTAAAAGCTTTGTAAATGAACTACGTATAATTAACTGGTTTTTAAAACAGGTTGATTTAATTACTTAATTACAGTAGTCATAAACAAGAGTATAGACAAGTAATTTGGAAGAGAAGTATTTATAAAAAAATAAATCATTACATTACTATTATTGTTACAGCTCTCTTTTTAAAATATTTTTTCTTTGAAATAAGAATAGTTTGCAATGAATCAGTATGGCTGGCTATTGTTGTAACCCACAAGCTAAACTTCTGCTAATGCAGAAATATAAGCAGGAGTTTATATGTCAGGTTTTGAACAGGAAGTTTAAGACGTTTATTAAAGAGCAAGAGAGTTGCAAAATCAAAATTTCCCAAGAAATGTGTAAGTTAAAGTAGTGGTGAGATTCGGCTGATTCGCACTGGTTCGCTAGAACTGGTAGCTAAATTTTTCTGGAGTGTGGCGAAGCGGCAGAAGTGATGGGCAGGAAGTCCTGCCATACCCGGCAAGGGGAGGAAAAGAGATGATAAGAGGAGCTCCTCCCTCTCTCTCTATGACAGCCATCTCTGTCATTGGATAAAGCAGGACGGTGACTCAAGGCAGTGAGCACCTCCAGCTCCAACAAAGTTCCACCACAAATCCGCGAAGCCCTTATCTGCGGAGACATAAGCGCGAAGACTAATTCGCGCCGTTCAAAGCGCTAAGGAAAAACGCGACCCTACCGCAATGACATAATTGCGGAGGGCAAATTCGCGAATTCCCAAGCACTCGTACCCTAAACCTAACCCTAACCCTAACCCTAACCCTAACCCTAACCCTAAACCTAACCCTAACCCTAACCCTAAC